AAAGTAAAAATATACATATTGTTTCTTTTTAACTGTATAGTATTTTAAAGAATGAAAAACAATGGTGCATTTGTCTGAAGAAAAAAAATCATTGAAAAATATGGGTTTAAATGGATGGTGCTTGTTTTGTTTGAATCTGAGTTGTATATCGCCTCTGTTATGTTTATTGAAAACAAACAAACAAACAAAAAAAAGATATTGTGCATGACGTGTTTAGCAGTCATAATGATGTCCATTTGTGAAATGTGTATCAAATCAAAAAATGAGAAAAAAAAGAAAAGAAAAGAAAAAAATAAATCCGTAGATGCACTTATTGTACATGTGGTTAGTTTGGTAGGTTTGACTTCAAGTTCTTGACTGCCTTACAGATGTTTGGGCAGGTGGCTCTGAAAGACGTTAGAAAAGACTTGTGGGAGAAGACATAATGAAAAACATTAAAGGATTGTAGAATAATATTGAACAATTCTGAAAATTGCAGTTCTTTTGATGCTTGTGATTATTGAAGATGTACTTTAGAGAAATTTCATTGAAAAGATATGACTCTGATGTTAATTCTGTAGAATAGCAATGTATACCAAATGTAATCTTTCCAATGCTATGAAGAATTTATACATGAAATTGATATGCAATAAAACCTGTGTGCTTTTTAAAAAACGTGACCACTGTGTATTTGTGAGCTGAAAGCTCCTGGGAATGATGAGTGAACAGAACACAAACAACTGATTTCCTAGTTCATAAAAAAAACATAAAAGACATCATAGTATCATATGTCATAGAAAAATGTCAATGTAGAAAAATACAAAAACAAGGTCATAGTGTATTGTACAATTAAAAGAGGTCACAGTATAGTAGGCCTATTATGAAGGTTATAATATGACATTCTCAAAAATCCTCAAAACCTTAAAAAAGTGTCACAGTATATCATGTCGTAAAAAAACAAAAACAAAATAATGCCATAGTATAATTTGTCATTAAAAAATAAAATCTTAAAAACTGCCGTAGTATAGTACCTCATGAAAAACCAAAAGAAAGTCATAGTGTAATATGTAAAAAAAAAAACTCAAAAAATGTTGCACTATAGTATGTCATGAAAATCATAAAAAAAATCATACTATATTGTTTCATTAAAAACGTGACAGTTTGAATGTAATCAAAAAAGATATATATATGTCATGAAAAAATATAAAAGTATCATAAAATGATATGTCATGAAAAAAAAGTCATAGTATAGTATGTCATGAAAAAAATCATAAAAATGTCATAGTATAGTGTATTATGAAAAAACATGAAAAATGTCCTAGTATAGTATGTCATGAAAAAAAAACAATGAAAATATCATAGTAAATTATGTCATGAAAAAAATCATAAAATTGTCATAGTATAGTGTATTATGAAAAAACATGAAAAATGTCCTAGTATAGTATGTCATGAAAAAATGATGAAAAAAATATAATAGTATAGTATATCATGAAAAATAATAAATGTGTCATTGTATAGTATATCATGAAAAATCATAAATGTGTCATTGTATAGTATGTCATGAAAAAAATGATAAAAACTATAATAGTATAGTATGTTGTGAAAAAACATGAAAAAGTCAAAGGAGGCTGTGGCATGTCATGAAAAAAACAAACATTTCATAGTATAGTATGTCATGAAAAAAAACAAAAAAATGAAGTATAGTATTTCATAAAAAATCATAAAAAATGTAATAAAATAAAATGTCATTAAAAATTGTTTAAAAAAGTCATAGTTTAGTATGTCATGAAAAAATCTTAAAAATATCATAGTATAGTGTGTCATGAAAAAAAAATTGAAGTATAGTATTTCATGAAGAATCATTAAAAATGTCATAGAATAGTATATCTTGAAAAAATGATAAAAAAAAATATAATAGTATAGTATGTAATGAAAAAAACAAAAAAAATGTCATAGTATAGTATGTAATGAAAAAAAACAAAAAAAATGTCATAGTATAGTATGTCAGGAAAAAAAAAATAAAAATATAATAGTATAGTATGTCAGGAAAAGTCATAAATGCGTCATAGTATAGTATGTCATGAAAAATCATTAAAAAAATGTCATAGAATAGTATATCATGAAAAAATGATAAAAAAAAAAATATAATAGTGTAGTATGTCATGAAAACAATCATAAAAATGTCATATGTCGTCCAAAATCATGAAAAAAACGTCATGCTATAGTATGTGGTCCAAAATAATGAAAAAAAGTCATACTGTAGTATGTGGTCCAAAATAATGAAAAAAAAGTCATACTGTAGTATGTGGTCCAAAATAATGAAAAAAATGTCACACTAAAGTATGGCGTTCGAAATCATGAAAAAAAAGTCATACTATACTATGTGGTCTGAAATCATGAAAAAAAGTCATAGTATAGCATGTCATGAAAAATCATAAAAAATGTCATCGTATAGTATATCATCCAAAATAATAAAAAAAAAGTCATAGTCTAGTACGTCGTCCAAAGAAATGAAAAAATATCATGGTATAGTATGTCATGAAAAATCATAAAAAAAAATGTCATAGAACAGTATATCATGAAAAAAATGATAAAAAATATAAAAGTATAGTATGTCGTGAAGAAATGATAAAAAAAATATCATGGTATAGTATGCCATGAAAAAATCATAAAAATATCATAATATCATATATCATGAAAAAAATAATAAAATATCATCGTATAGTATGTCATGAAAAAAATAATAAAAATGTAATAGTATAGTATGTCTTAAAAAAAAATAATAGAAATATCATCATATAGTATGTCATGACAAAAATAATAAAAATGTAATAGTATAGTATGTCATGAAAAAATCATAAAGATATCATAGTATAGTATTTCATGAAAAAAAAATAATAAAAATGTCATGGTATCGTAAGTCATGAAAAAAATCATAAAAATGTAATAGTATAGTATGTCATGAAAAAAAACATAGAAGTATCATCGTATAGTATGTCATGAAAAGACAGAAAAAATATCATAATATACTATGTCATGAAAAAACATACAAATATCATAGCATAGCATGTCATGAAAAAAAATCTTAAATACGTCATAATATAGTATGTAATGAAAAAACAATGAAAAATATTATAGTATATCATGAGACAAATGATAAAATATAACATTGTATAGCATGTCAAGAAATAGAAAAAATGTCATAGTACAGTATGTCATGAAAAAATCATAAAAATGTCACAGCATATTAAAGTCAAGTTTAAGACCTACCTGTTCTCCCAGGTTCTCTCTCTCTCTCTCTCTCTCTCTCTCTCTCTCTCTCTGTTTCTTTTGTTGGTATATGATTGGTTATGTCTGTGTGGGTGGGCTAGGGATGTATTACTGTCAAAACTTGATTTGTTTTTATTCACATGTTGTATGTTAAAGCACATTGAGATTTCTCTGTATCAAATGATTGATTGATTGATGATTTGATAGCAACGTGTCTCATGAAAAAAGTCACAAACGCGGGGTTTGAAAATTGTAGACCGTGATGCAGTTGCTCTCAACTTTATTTAACAGTTGAAGTGTTAAAAGAACGGTAAGTTATATCAACATAGTTAGCTAGCTCACGCCTTGCTAACATTAGCGTTAACAGCTATAAAACTTTTTTAAAAACTTGTTTTAACAAATAAATGCAAATTTTAAAAAGCAATACTGGCATTACTTCTACTGAGAACACATTATGACTCGGGGATTGACTAGGGACTTGCCTGTCTTTGGGACTTGACAACAAGAGACTTGAGACTCCCTTGTCAATTGCAAAACAATAACTTGGTCTCACCTCTGCTGTGCATACAGCAATTTCAGTGTCTAAAGAAGGCGAGACATCTGAACATCATTTAGCCATAAGTGTTTCAGGTTGCAGGGATATATTGGTTTCAAGGCACATTTTGATATAAAAGTTAGTGATCATCATACCATGTACGCTTATCTACGATATTGACTGGACGTTGAATCTCCCCTTTATTTTAATTATTTTCTCAAGGGAGACTTTTTACACATGCTTCCATCAACAAAGTGGTTTCAAGTTTCAGTTAGAGTTATAAAATGTTTGTTCAACCAGCAATAAACCTTCTGTTTTCATTCCTTTACAGGTCATTCTGACTGATAATAATATAAATTCTGTGATACCTTAAAACCACAATATTTTCTGAGATGGTTATCGCACCATGAAAATCTCATACCATTAAAAAACCCCAAGCCACATGTGAGCGAGCCCATGTCATGTCCCCTCTTCCCCACAAAACAACAGAAAGACAGAGATGGCGATCACAGTGAAGCATTTATGAGCTACAGTCAGATATTTCCCTCAGGAGTTGGTAGAGATCAAAAAGCAACTAAAAGATAGTGAATATTGTACCAGGTGGCCAGAAACACAGCTCTGAACGAGATCACAATACTTGTACTCTTTATTTGCCATATACCCATTGTAAATATTACATTAAGTATTAAACTCTATAAAGATCACAGAGGTAGAGTTAAAGATCAAATAATCACAACCTGAGTGTTACCTTCAAGAACATTTTACTCTATGCAGGAAACCTTGGCGTGGACCAGAACAACAGCAGTTTAATATTTGAATGAAGAGGCAGAAAGAAATATTACAGGAACATTATAGTGATGGAGGCAGAGATCAAAATACAGGAACTGTACAGTATGTTTTAAATAATATGGTCACCATAATCTTATTAATGAGTAGCACATAGCCAGTTTCAATCACATTTAATTGCTGAGTTTAATAATTAATCATTTTGCATACAAAGCACAGTTTATATGTTTGGGTAGTGCGTCTAGCAGTTTTACTCAAATGTAAGAGATTAAGATTATAATATTATTTACTTTGAAACTGCTAAAAAAGCGTGGCTCCAAAACATATGTATTTATAATAACATTAAATATTCACATAATCATTATCAACATGTACTGATAAACTGCTGCAGTGTGTGCACAGCTATCATGTAGCTACAGAAAGGACTGTTTCACATGGTGAAAAGCAGATGACCACTGAAGGTGCTAAGATAATTTTCATTGTCAAATATTCTTGTGTTCACCCACTGACGCAAAAACACAACATCTCCAACCTCTAGAAGCAGCGTGGCACCATTAGCAGAGCTGCCAAAAAAGGACGACTGATGCAAAAATGAAAAAAAAGTATGTCCTCCATTCTTGACCAAGTATGCACCTGAAGCATGTGAAGCATGTCCGCCTGCACCTATGTAAAACTCAAAGTGGTAGGCTCCTCTCACTGGTGCAATGAAAAAACCTGTGGGACAGTTTGTGTCAGTGAATGTAACAAGAGAATCATCTGTAGCAGAGTGAAGTCAGCACAGTGTTATTTAAAGTCAGATTAATTATTTAAACATGTGAATTTGCGTACCTGTGTTTGGGTTGTAGGCGTTTCCTGTGTTTGTGATGACATGTCTGAAGACCAGAGAAGTGTCTGTGTTAAATGGTCCAACATGTCCTGAACCTGAAGCCAACAGAGAGGCTGAGAAAGCCACCTGTTTGACTGAGAGAGAGATAAAGAGAGAGCAATGTCATTGTTCTAAACTTACTGGTTTTTAGTTTTACTATGCACATATTGTTTAGACTAAACATTTTCAAATACTAAAATCAATAATAGTTTAGTTCTGAGTCTGACCTTCTCCATCTCTCATCAGAGCCTCCACCTGGTGTTCTGTGACATTTGACCTGGCTTTCAAGGTGATCAGCTCTGCTGCTTGTGCTGCAAAAAAGTGACATCATAACAAAGTTGTGTCTCATGCATATGGCTCAGTGCTCCTGACCAGTTTATTATATGACATTCCTTGTAATATGTCGGCTCAAACAGGCTTTACTGTCTTGTTCTTATTTTCTTTTCAGCTTATGATACACTATTAGTTACTTTGACCTGTGAAGATCTCCAAACAATACCTTGAAGTTGGTGCTTCTGCCTCTCCACCTCAGTCTTCTGTTGCTCCAGTTCTTTGAGCTTAGCTGTTTGTGCTTAAACACAATATCAAACTTAAATAGTCATATGCAGCATAATTGTAAAACCTTTGATTGTTTTCATTTTTAATTTGTAAAATTGATTTACTGTTATTTGTTATTGCTCACTATACATTCTCAGGACCACAATGACCACACAGTACCTTGAAGTTGTTGCTTCAGCCTCTCCAGCTCAGTCCTCTGTAGGTCCAGTTCTTTCAGCTTAGCTGTTTGTGCTTTAAAAAATGAATGAATGAATGACTGAATGTTAATATCTTATTTTACTGCTCCATCAATCATTTCTTGGAAATTGTTCCAATGCCATTGGGTAATAGGCCCTCATTAAAATAACTGTCAACATTGTGATGCGTGCTGGACAATATAACTCTGAAATGTTCAACCTCCTACAATAAGAAATACAGTGGAATGCCACGTTGGAGTTTCTACTTGTAAAATCAGGGCAAAACCATCCGACCGGACTTCATGAAGACACTTTCTGATGTAACACAATAATGTTAGTACCCATCAAAGAGCACATTGTAAATGTTAAACCATCAACAAAAACACAAGGTAGAGTACATTTGGTTGTATTTCAAAAGAGAATACATAATATTATATAGCAAAATTTGTTCTGCATGCAAATTGATGTCAAAATATTATAAAGATTATCATTATTACTAATATGAGGAAGCTGCAGAAAATGTCTTAAAGTTATCTTCTCTGCACAAACGTTATTTGGGAGAATGTCAAAAATGCTTCTGTCTCAGTTATGTATGCAAGGAGGATGCACTGCTGAGAGTTTAGTTGTGTGCACACTTGACAAAGAAACATCAGTTTGTCACTGTCAGCCATGTTTGTTTACATTTGGCATCATGCACCTGGGGCCTGTATCACGAAGCAGGATTAATGTCTTAGCGAGGTAACTTCAGGGTTAACCCTGGGTTTTCCGTCTCACGAAGCCGGTTCAGTTCTTATCGGGGTAGATCACCATGGTAACTTACTCTGAACGGCTATCCTGCTCCGGAGCAGGGTAAGTTCAGGGTTGAATCTGATCCTATAAAAAGGACCACCCAAATGACTCAGCTGACAGAAGTGCAGCCCAGTCATGACGGGAAGTTTAATTAATTTGATAGATTTTGATTTGAAAGTTTATTTTGAACATTAAAAAAGAAAAGAAAGCAACAACAACAGACAATGAAAAGATTGTTCAAAAAGGAGTGGAAAGAAGTCGAACTTTCATCCCACCCCTTCATAAGAAAGAAACTGATCACTTGCGGACACTTAATAGCACCATTAATTAGTGCCAACATTTTGTTTTGTTGGAGGAAATGATCCCTGTTAAAGATAATGGGCCTAATTGACAGCTTTGCTGCTGGAAATGTGGAAAGTAGCCTATCATGTCTACACTTCATGGTGTTTGAGGGATTTTCCTTTTTGTTTTTTAAAGAGGGAATATAGGTAGCCTATATTTTTGCGCAGCTGTTAATTTCTAACACAGCTCAATATCAGGATGATTTTATTCAGACTATCAATTTGGTGTTGATATGATTTAATTGTGGCGTCAGCTTTAAGCTTTATTGTAGCATATATAACGTTATGACAAAGAAGACCAATTTATCAGACGCAATGATGTTAGACGATAATTGTAATACACGCAATTCATCTGCGCAGCATTGATTTCATGGGATTCAAGGGTGTGATCAGTGTCAGATGTACAGGTACAGGTACTGTAGCTACTTGAACCAGTGATGAGTAATTTAACCTACACATCATTTTATTTGCTACCTTGTTTTGTCTTGATTTTTCCCTCTCTCCTCCTCTATTTCTTCTTTCCTTACACGTTTTTTTTTCTTCTCTATTATGTGATTTCATTGATGTTTTGACAGGGGAATTTCTTTGATAAGCTTTGAGTGGCTTCTAACCTCTCCGGTACTTTTCTTTTAATCTTGTAAATTTTATACTGTCTGTTTTTAACATTATGTGCAAAAAAACTAATCTAAACTAAAACTAAACATTATTCATCCCGTTATGCGTTGCCACGCATGTTTCCTCCTCCTGCAGCTGCCACGGTGTTGGCCTTTTCTGTAATGTTGCTTTTCTCCTCCTCATATTTTAGTAGAATTAATCTCTGATCCTCATGAGAAATACTTTTTTTCCTCACATACGGCGCTCTGTGAGGACGCTAAGTGACGCTCAGTGACACTGCGCTTCTCTCGTGATTGTGATTGGTCTACTGCGTGCGCGTTCACGGCTCTTGATAAAGCAACCCTGGGTTGAGTTACTGAATTGATATCCAGTGTCGTGATACCGATTATCCTGATTGCCATTCTTAGGGTTAGTCTTCCCAGGATAGGTCTGGGTAACGCAGGAAAGGTTGATCTCGCTTCGTGATACAGGCCCCTGGAATGCTTGGAGATTGTAAGGTGGAAACTTCAACTGGTAAATTCTGACCTCGGACTCTGACTGAGAGTCCAACACTTTGATTTATGACCAAAACTACAGATGGTCCCATCAGCCTCAGCTGTACTTCGTGTACATGCTAATTACCATATGTTAGCATGCTACTTTCATGGACTGATTACTGAATAGGCTTATCAGGCACATGCCCAGGGCCTCCCTATCCCTCACCTGTAAAATGACACTCAAATACCCTTTGCCCACCAAAATTAGTGCATGTATGCAGGTTTTTAAAAGCAGGAAAACTTCACAGACCGGCCAGAAAACAGGTTAGTAAACAGTAAAGCAGCATGGAGGCCAGTGAAAATGTTAACAGTGGCTATATCTCTACTTATTTGAGTCTCTCTTTCAAACTCGGTGCTGTCTAAATTTGAAACAATGTTGGAGCGCTGCTCGGATGGAGATGGACAGTATTTTGTGGTGGGCTGTCATTTCATCGTGCAGGTAACTGGGGCTAAAATTTGCACGTCCATCTGAGTGTCGCATTTCCGTCACTGCTAATCAAAGCATATAGCAGCTGAGTCATTTGTCCCGGGAGTAAATGGCAGTTGTAACCTTTCCTGTAAAATACAAAAGCCAAATGTCAGTGGTTGCCTGTGGGTCCTTTGTCCATTGTGAAAGGGGCTGCAGAGATATATACTGACTAGGAGAGACGCAAAATGACGTAACAAAAAAAAGCATAAAACAACTATATAGAGACACAAAAACACCAGAAAGAGACAGAGAACAATTATGAGACAAAAAACACCACAAAGAACCTAAAAAAGACTGAAATGAAAGACAACGAGACCAGAAAGAGACACAAACAAAACTACAAAGAGACACAATAAGACCACAAGAAACACAAAAAACTACAGAGACACAATAAGACCACAAGAAACACAAAAAACTACAGAGACACAATAAGACCACAAGAGACCAAAAACACCTACAATGAGACACAGAAAGACCACAGAGAGATGCAAAACAACAACAAAAAGAGCCTGAACAACTATAAAGTCTGTGTGTCTTGCTCTTTGTAGAAGAGGAGATGGGGCCTTCTGCATGTCTGTGCACAGGGGCCCATTGTCTCCTCATCATGCAAACATGTCAAACTGGTCTTGTTTTGTTTCTGTCCTTAATTTGTGTAGAAAGTTGTGAGACATTATAGGACGATGAATTAAAACAGCGGTACATGTGTTCTGTGACCTAAGATTTTTGAGAAATTAAAGAGTGTTAAAAAGCGTAGAAGAGTTCTTTAGACTGAAAAGATGTCTGACATGTGTGCATGTTGAGAACACTACATGAAGATCCACAAACGTTGATCTTTGACTCCTGTTGTACTCTGTACAGTTGTTTAACAGAAGAGAAGTGAACTAAACTGAACCACTGCAAAACACTTCAGTGTTACAACATAATACAATAACTCTTGTAACAGACCAGAGGTTCCTATTGCTCTTACTTCCCTCACTACCTGACATACTACTGTACCTTCATTCTCTCTCTGTAAGTGCCTCATCTCCACCCTCTGTTCAGCCAACAAGGCGCTCATCTCTCTCAGCACAGCATGGATGTCTTGAGTGCCGGTTTGTTGGCGGTCAGAGACATTTGTTGGTCCTCTTCCCTGGGATTCAGCTTGCTTTCCATGTGGAATAATTTCATTGTCAGACTCTGTCTGATGCTGAGCCGTGGAGAGAGAGCAGATCAGCAGCAACAGTGGAAAACACAGTGTCATCTCCATTCTCAAAGTGGCAGTCTGTACAGTTCTACTCTGTAGTTTCTGTGTTCATCCCAGCCTTAAATAGTGTCTTATGCTGATCAATCATTACCAGAAATATCTGTCAGAAACACGTGCAGGAGATCAGTTTGATAACAATTATTACTTGGAGAACATCATGTGGAAAAACAACACTGAAAACACAGCACATGAACATAAATGATCTGCTAGTATGTTGGAACGTAGCTTCCAATCCTTGAATAATCAGTTTACCAAAACTCAAAAAGTGTATTGTAATATTCTCAATAGTGTGTGTGTGTGTGTGTGTGTGTCTTGGAAGTCTCACTGTGTCATTTAAGGAGTTGCAGTTACATATAAACGACTACAATGTGGATGATCAAAAGTTCAATTATTATTTAAAATGCCCTCATGGCTGAGAACGCTGACAGCTTCTATGAAAGACACAACTAGACAGATGTAATTGTCATCCTCACTGAAATGTAAATTCGTAAACATTGAATAAATTCATATGTGTAAAAAAACAAGTAACAGAAGTAAACAAAAGACAACCATGTGTACCTGCTCAAACATTAATGACACAATCAGAGACAGTGACCTTCCTGAGGTTGTTAATTGGCTGAGATAAGCAAAGACTTACCAGAAACCCAAGTTAGAGGAGTAATAAAACAATTCTCTCTTTGCTTCCTCAATAAATCCAGCACGGTAATAGAGTCTGACTTTAAAACAACAACAACACAACATCACAAAACATTCACTGGCAGGCAGCAGCAGTCACACGTGCAGTTTATGTGATCTTCACCACAGCTTTATTTTTATAAACCAATATTAACACGTCTCTCCCCAAAACCAAACACAAATACTAAGTCATAAAGTCATAATAAGACAAGGTGAAGAGCTTCTCAGCTGAAAATAGATCAGAGTTACTGTGTTCACTGAGCTTGTAATCTCATCTCAACGACTGTGACAACTGCAATTTAAATTTTCAAATGAATCGACAGACAGACAGAAATATTACAGGAATGTTATAGTTATAAAAGCAGAGATCAAAAGATGATTATTTTATTAAATAATATGGCAACCATGATTGCTGTGTGTAAGTCTAAACAACACATTTGACCGTAGGGTGGGAGTTAAGTGATAACCTGTTGAAACGGGTTGCACCCAAGTTACTATAGACTTGTTGACTTGACACACAGCAAGTAGAAATAGAGACATCCATGGTGTTGGTGGAGATTCTCAGGCAGCCAGGCATAAGGAGAGTAATGTAGAGTATGCAGTTCAATGCAGCCAGGAATGTATGGATTTGTACATTGGTGAAACAGAACAACCACTCCACAAGTGCATGGCACAACACAGGAGAGCCAGCTCCTCAGGTCAAGACTCAGCTGTCCATTTACATGTAAAGGAAAAGGGACAATCTTTGGCCTGAGAAGAAAAATGGTTTGAAAGAGGCATGAAAGAAGCCATCTACGTCACACTGGAACAACCATCTTTAAACAGAGGAGGTGGCCTACGACACAACTCATCACCCACCTACAATGCAGTCTTGGGATCCCTCCCCAGACGACTTAACACCCATTCACACCTGGACCCATGTAACCCTAACGACACACATGATGGCTGGGTGGGTCAACAACTCACATGTGACCTCAACGATGATCTAAAGGTTCACACCCACACAGAGTGTAAAGCCTGCGACTCCGCACCAGTCCGTTAGAACTGTAGAAGATTCTTGGATGAGAGGTGAAATGTCTTCAAGAAACTCAAGCAAGTTGAGTTGCCTACGATTTAGCACTTAAGACATCCATGACATCTGAACATCGTAAAGCCACAATAGTGTTGTAGCTATACATCTGATTCAAGGCATATTGTGATATCAAAGTTAGTGATCATCATACCATGTACGCTTATCTATGATATTGGAAAAAAAAGATACTGGACGTTAAATCTCCCTTTTATTTTAGTTATTTTTCTCAGGGGAGACTTTTTACACATGCTTCCATCAACAAAGTGGTTTCAGTTGTAGCTATAAAATGTTTGTTCAACCAACAATGAACCCTCTGTTTTCATTCCTTTACAGGTCATTCTAACTGATAATAATATAAATTCTGTGATATCTTGAAACCACAATATTTTCTGAGATGGTTATCGCACCATGAAAATCTCATACCATTAAAAAACCCCAAGCCACATGTGAGCGAGCCCATGTCATGTCCCCTCTTCCCCACAAAACAACAGAGAGACAGAGATGGCGATCACAGTGAAGCATTTATGAGCTACAGTCAGATATTTCCCTCAGGAGTTGGTAGAGATCAAAAAGCAACTAAAAGATAGTGAATATTGTACCAGGTGGCCAGAAACACAGCTCTGAACGAGATCACAATACTTGTACTCTTTATTTGCCATATACCCATTGTAAATATTACATTAAGTATTAAACTCTATAAAGATCACAGAGGTAGAGTTAAAGATCAAATAATCACAACCTGAGTGTTACCTTCAAGAACATTTTACTCTATGCAGGAAACCTTGGCGTGGACCAGAACAACAGCAGTTTAATATTTGAATGAAGAGGCAGAAAGAAATATTACAGGAACATTATAGTGATGGAGGCAGAGATCAAAATACAGGAACTGTACAGTATGTTTTAAATAATATGGTCACCATAATCTTATTAATGAGTAGCACATAGCCAGTTTCAATCACATTTAATTGCTGAGTTTAATAATTAATCATTTTGCATACAAAGCACAGTTTATATGTTTGGGTAGTGCGTCTAGCAGTTTTACTCAAATGTAAGAGATTAAGATTATAATATTATTTACTTTGAAACTGCTAAAAAAGCGTGGCTCCAAAACATATGTATTTATAATAACATTAAATATTCACATAATCATTATCAACATGTACTGATAAACTGCTGCAGTGTGTGCACAGCTATCATGTAGCTACAGAAAGGACTGTTTCACATGGTGAAAAGCAGATGACCACTGAAGGTGCTGTGGTGATTTTCATTGTCAAATATTCTTGTGTTCGCCCACTGACGTAAATACACAACATCTCCCACCTCTAGAAGCAGCGTGGCACCATTAGCAGAGCTGCCATAATGGGACGACTGATGCGACCATGCAATAACAACACGTCCTCCGTTCTTGGACAACACTGCACTTGAAGCATGTGAAGCATGTCCATGTGCACCTATGTAGAACTCAAGTGTAAGATGTAAGTGCCTCATCTCCACCCTCTGTTCAGCCAACAAGGCGCTCATCTCTCTCAGCACAGCATGGATGTCTTGAGTGCCGGTTTGTTGGCGGTCAGAGACATTTGTTGGTCCTCTTCCCTGGGATTCAGCTTGCTTTCCATGTGGAATAATTTCATTGTCAGACTCTGTCTGATGCTGAGCCGTGGAGAGAGAGCAGATCAGCAGCAACAGTGGAAAACACAGTGTCATCTCCATTCTCAAAGTGGCAGTCTGTACAGTTCTACTCTGTAGTTTCTGTGTTCATCCCAGCCTTAAATAGTGTCTTATGCTGATCAATCATTACCAGAAATATCTGTCAGAAACACGTGCAGGAGATCAGTTTGATAACAATTATTACTTGGAGAACATCATGTGGAAAAACAACACTGAAAACACAGCACATGAACATAAATGATCTGCTAGTATGTTGGAACGTAGCTTCCAATCCTTGAATAATCAGTTTACCAAAACTCAAAAAGTGTATTGTAATATTCTCAATAGTGTGTGTGTGTGTGTGTGTGTGTCTTGGAAGTCTCACTGTGTCATTTAAGGAGTTGCAGTTACATATAAACGACTACAATGTGGATGATCAAAAGTTCAATTATTATTTAAAATGCCCTCATGGCTGAGAATGCTGACAGCTTCTATGAAAGACACAACTAGACAGATGTAATTGTCATCCTCACTGAAATGTAAATTCGTAAACATTGAATAAATTCATATGTGTAAAAAAACAAGTAACAGAAGTAAACAAAAGACAACCATGTGTACCTGCTCAAACATTAATGACACAATCAGAGACAGTGACCTTCCTGAGGTTGTTAATTGGCTGAGATAAGCAAAGACCTATCTCCTCAATAAATCCAGCACAGTAATAGTCCAACTTTAAAACAAAAACAACACCTGAGCCACAGTCACCCCTATCATAGCTGGTCTCCAAAACTACTAACTGGCACCCAGGAAAGAGACAGCATCACACCCACTGGTGTCCCTGCATTGGCCACAGGGCAAATATGAGACTGAGTTTAAGCTGATGTACAGCTGTAAAAAGGCCATGTAGGCCTGGTGCCCCAGCACATCTCTGAGCTCCTCTGCCTATAGTTTCCAACCCAGATCTCTCAGATACTCAAACCAGCTGCTCCTGAAGATGATACGATCGAGGTTAAGGGGTAAAGACAATCGTGCGTTTGCAGTAGCCGCCTCAGAAGAAAGACAAGTTCACACACAGTACTGCAGTGACTTGTTCATGCTTTTATTCAAATGTAAGAGGACATGAAAATAAGACATTTAATATGTACAAAAGATTGTTGCTGCAAAGCTTTGTCATCCAGCTTTAATACACAGGATAAATACTGTAAATGAGACTTTGATTTGCTCTCACTGATACAATACTCCTGTATGTCCAGATATTTACAAATAAAAACAGCACAGCTGGTGTATTATGCATCTGAAGGAACAAAGGGAACTCCCCCTCTCACATTAACAGCACAAGACCATTCAAGTTTCTGCAGAACAAAGTAAAAACAGTCGCAGAGTAAAGTGAGGTGGTTTGGTTTGATGCTCTGGTCCAACCAGCAGGTAGTTTCTGGTGTTAATCAGGATCCAGGTGAAGATACAGGATTGCTTGTGAGCTTGTGAGATAAATCAAACAACTTTTCAACATTTACACAATTTTCTCATCAGTTACTGCACCTCCTTAATCTAATGTTAAAAAGCTCTGGCACAAGTTCCCTCACTGTCTATCACTGTGTATTTTGATGCAAATCCAGAGAGAGATGCAGATGAAAAATTCATGAACTTTTTGTTATTAAAAATATTGTTGTTGTTGTTGCTGTTGTTGTTGCTGTTGTTGTGAAGCCTTATCAATCAGCTTTCATGTAAAAGGAAAAACAAATGACACTTCCATCAACATGTACTGATAAACTGCTGCAGTGTGTGCACAGCTATCATGTAGCTACAGAAAGGACTGTTTCACATGGTGAAAAGCAGATGACCACTGAAGGTGCTGTGGTGATTTTCATTGTCAAATATTCTTGTGTTCGCCCACTGACGCAAATACACAACATCTCCGACCTCTAGAAGCAGCGTGGCACCATTAGCAGAGCTGCTATGACCGGACGGCTGATGCTCATATGCCATAAAAGTTTGTCCTCCATTCTTGACCAAGTGTGCACCTGAAGCATGTGAAGCATCTCCATATGTACCTATGTAGAACTCAAAGTGGTAGGCTCCTCTCACTGGTGCAATGAAAAAACCTGTGGGACAGTTTGTGTCAGTGAATGTAACAAGAGAATCATCTGTAGCAACAGTGGTGTGCACAGGGGGCGGCAGGAGGGCGGTTGCCCCCCCCATGGCCCAATTGTTGAAAAACGCTCGCTACAGTGCCCTCTTGGGAGCCAAAACGCGCACTAAAGTGCCCTTTTTTTCTTTTCGCCCCTACCCTTCAAAAAGTCTGTGCATGCCACTGTGTAGCAGAGTGAAGTCAGCATGGCCAAAAAGTCAAATTAACAATTTAAACTGAACTCACATACCTGTGTTTGGGTTGTAGGCATTTCCAATGTTTGTGAGGACATATCTGAAGACCAGAAGAGTGTGTGTGTTAAATGGTCCAACATGTCCTGAACCTGAAGCCAACAGAGAGGCTGAGAAAGCCACCTGTTTGACTGAGAGAGAGATAAAGAGAGAGCAATGTCATTGTTCTAAACTTACTGGTTTTTAGTTTTACTATGCACATATTGTTTAGACTAAACATTTTCAAATACTAAATTCAATTATAGTTTAGTTCTGAGTCTGACCTTCTCCATCTCTCATCAGAGCCTCCACCTGGTGTTCTGTGACATTTGACCTGGCTTTCATGGTGATCAGCTCTGCTGCTTGTGCTGCAAAAAAGTGGCATCATTACAACTTTGTGTCTTATGAAAACATCACAAAATCCTCATCACTGTCTTTATCAAGGTTTGCTCTGGCCACTGAACATTTAGATTTTATGTTAGAAAAAAACATTTAGAATATAATTTGAATGCATATCTTAGTTTTCCTGACCAGTATGTTGTAGGAAATGTCTTGTAATTTTTTTTTGGGCTTATGATACACTATCATAAATAACTTTAAGCCATGATGTTCTCCACAAAATACCTTGAAGCTCCTGCTTCTGCCTCTCCAGCTCAGTCTTCTGCCTCTCCACCTCAGTCTTCTGTAGCTCCAGTTCTTTCAGCTTAGCTGTTTGTGTTTTGATGAATGAGCAAATGCCTGTGTGTTAACTTGTAGTTTACTGCAACATTAATATCTGTGTAGTTGCTCCAATAGGAAATACTCTTTGATTCAACAAACAACAAAAAAGCTTCATGAAAACGCTGAGTTACATTTTTCTAGGGAGGAAAAGCCTGTTTTTCAGTCTCTACACACATATGTGGTCCCCAGGGGATACATCTTTATGACTCCACTGCCACCAACAGGACATATTTAGTTATTTTAATTTACAGCTATTGGATAGATTACCATTAAAGACATCCAAGTTCCTCACAAAATGAATTGTAGTAACTTTGCTACTTAACTGATGTTTCATCTACTGCCATCAATAAGCCAACATTTCTACTGAAAAAGTATTTCACTGCTGGAAAGATGGTTTTTCATAAAACCCAGCTGTCCACACAGTAAAAAATAAAAGATGCAAATACTTTTGAAACTGGTGCTATATGACCAGAGAAAACAGATATAAAGGGCTGTGGCATTCGCTTTCACTCAAGAGGTTGAGAACCTACAACTATGAGAATACATTGTGCCATACCAGACTAATAATCTGAATTACAATGTTTGTTTACTGGAACTTCTGGGTGGAAAAAACCCTGCGTCATGTACATAAAATGAAGAGGCACCTGTTTGACTGAGAGAGAGAGATACTCATTTTAACGTGGCTGATGTGATGGTTAATAATGAGCTTTTTTTTCTTAATTAAGTATTGTTATCAATTAAAAACACATCATTATTCTCTCTATTATTGTGCATTCTAGGTAGGATTTTAAATCATGTATGTACTATCAGAACAAAACTGTTCAAATACTTAATTGCTAGTTTAGTTCTGAGTCTGACCTTCTCCATCTCTCTTGAGAGCCTCCACCTGCCCTTCTGTGGCATTTGACCTGGTGTTCACAGTTATCAGCTCTGCTGCTTGTGCTGCAATTATTGAAAAAGTAGTAATGTGAAATAAATCATTGTCTCCAATGAAAACAATCCATGGCAGACAAAAGTATTCCATCATCATGGTTTCATTAGGTTGTGCGTTAGCCACTGAAATTTGTTCAAATAAATTACTTCATACTGTCCAGAAAAAACTGAGTGATATGCATCATTAAAAGGACTTATGACTATTTGTTACTGCTCAATATAAACATATACCTTGGAGCTGTTGCTTCAGCTTGTCCACCTCAGTCTTTTGCATCTCCAGCTCTCTCAGCTTAGCTGCCTGTGCTAAAAATAAAAAGAGGATTCATCAATGATATGTTCGTTACAAACATTTCTGCCTTTTGAGTATGAATGGCTATGACGTGCTATTATAGAAAGCTCCAGACCAGAGGTTCCTATTGCTCTTACTTCCCTCACTACCTGACATACTACTGTACCTTCATTCTCTCTCTGTAAGTGCCTCATCTCCACCCTCTGTTCAGCCAACAAGGCGCTCATCTCTCTCAGCACAGCATGGATGTCTTGAGTGCCGGTTTGTTGGCGGTCAGAGACATTTGTTGGTCCTCTTCCCTGGGATTCAGCTTGCTTTCCATGTGGAATAATTTCATTGTCAGACTCTGTCTGATGCTGAGCCGTGGAGAGAGAGCAGATCAGCAGCAACAGTGGAAAACACAGTGTCATCTCCATTCTCAAAGTGGCAGTCTGTACAGTTCTACTCTGTAGTTTCTGTGTTCATCCCAGCCTTAAATAGTGTCTTATGCTGATCAATCATTACCAGAAATATCTGTCAGAAACACGTGCAGGAGATCAGTTTGATAACAATTATTACTTGGAGAACATCATGTGGAAAAACAACACTGAAAACACAGCACATGAACATAAATGATCTGCTAGTATGTTGGAACGTAGCTTCCAGTCCTTGAATAATCAGTTTACCAAAACTCAAAAAGTGTATTGTAATATTCTCAATAGTGTGTGTGTGTGTGTGTGTGTGTCTTGGAAGTCTCACTGTGTCATTTAAGGAGTTGCAGTTACATATAAACGACTACAATGTGGATGATCAAAAGTTCAATTATTATTTAAAATGCCCTCATGGCTGAGAATGCTGACAGCTTCTATGAAAGACACAACTAGACAGATGTAATTGTCATCCTCACTGAAATGTAAATTCGTAAACATTGAATAAATTCATATGTGTAAAAAAACAAGTAACAGAAGTAAACAAAAGACAACCATGTGTACCTGCTCAAACATTAATGACACAATCAGAGACAGTGACCTTCCTGAGGTTGTTAATTGGCTGAGATAAGCAAAGACCTATCTCCTCAATAAATCCAGCACAGTAATAGTCCAACTTTAAAACAAAAACAACACCTGAGCCACAGTCACCCCTATCATAGCTGGTCTCCAAAACTACTAACTGGCACCCAGGAAAGAGACAGCATCACACCCACTGGTGTCCCTGCATTGGCCACAGGGCAAATATGAGACTGAGTTTAAGCTGATGTACAGCTGTAAAAAGGCCATGTAGGCCTGGTGCCCCAGCACATCTCTGAGCTCCTCTGCCTATAGTTTCCAACCCAGATCTCTCAGATACTCAAACCAGCTGCTCCTGAAGATGATACGATCGAGGTTAAGGGGTAAAGACAATCGTGCGTTTGCAGTAGCCGCCTCAGAAGAAAGACAAGTTCACACACAGTACTGCAGTGACTTGTTCATGCTTTTATTCAAATGTAAGAGGACATGAAAATAAGACATTTAATATGTACAAAAGATTGTTGCTGCAAAGCTTTGTCATCCAGCTTTAATACACAGGATAAATACTGTAAATGAGACTTTGATTTGCTCTCACTGATACAATACTCCTGTATGTCCAGATATTTACAAATAAAAACAGCACAGCTGGTGTATTATGCATCTGAAGGAACAAAGGGAACTCCCCCTCTCACATTAACAGCACAAGACCATTCAAGTTTCTGCAGAACAAAGTAAAAACAGTCGCAGAGTAAAGTGAGGTGGTTTGGTTTGATGCTTTGGTCCAACCAGCAGGTAGTTTCTGGTGTTAATCAGGATCCAGGTGAAGATACAGGATTGCTCGTGAGCTTGTGAGATAAATCAAACAACTTTTCAACATTTACACAATTTTCTCATCAGTTACTGCACCTCCTTAATCTAATGTTAAAAAGCTCTGGCACAAGTTCCCTCACTGTCTATCACTGTGTATTTTGATGCAAATCCAGAGAGAGATGCAGATGAAAAATTCATGAACTTTTTGTTATTAAAAATATTGTTGTTGTTGTTGCTGTTGTTGTTGCTGTTGTTGTGAAGCCTTATCAATCAGCTTTCATGTAAAAGGAAAAACAAATGACACTTCCATCAACATGTACTGATAAACTGCTGCAGTGTGTGCACAGCTATCATGTAGCTACAGAAAGGACTGTTTCACATGGTGAAAAGCAGATGACCACTGAAGGTGCTGTGGTGATTTTCATTGTCAAATATTCTTGTGTTCGCCCACTGACGCAAATACACAACATCTCCGACCTCTAGAAGCAGCGTGGCACCATTAGCAGAGCTGCTATGACCGGACGGCTGATGCTCATATGCCATAAAAGTTTGTCCTCCATTCTTGACCAAGTGTGCACCTGAAGCATGTGAAGCATCTCCATATGTACCTATGTAGAACTCAAAGTGGTAGGCTCCTCTCACTGGTGCAATGAAAAAACCTGTGGGACAGTTTGTGTCAGTGAATGTAACAAGAGAATCATCTGTAGCAACAGTGGTGTGCACAGGGGGCGGCAGGAGGGCGGTTGCCCCCCCCATGGCCCAATTGTTGAAAAACGCTCGCTACAGTGCCCTCTTGGGAGCCAAAACGCGCACTAAAGTGCCCTTTTTTTCTTTTCGCCCCTACCCTTCAAAAAGTCTGTGCATGCCACTGTGTAGCAGAGTGAAGTCAGCATGGCCAAAAAGTCAAATTAACAATTTAAACTGAACTCACATACCTGTGTTTGGGTTGTAGGCATTTCCAATGTTTGTGAGGACATATCTGAAGACCAGAAGAGTGTGTGTGTTAAATGGTCCAACATGTCCTGAACCTGAAGCCAACAGAGAGGCTGAGAAAGCCACCTGTTTGACTGAGAGAGAGATAAAGAGAGAGCAATGTCATTGTTCTAAACTTACTGGTTTTTAGTTTTACTATGCACATATTGTTTAGACTAAACATTTTCAAATACTAAATTCAATTATAGTTTAGTTCTGAGTCTGACCTTCTCCATCTCTCATCAGAGCCTCCACCTGGTGTTCTGTGACATTTGACCTGGCTTTCATGGTGATCAGCTCTGCTGCTTGTGCTGCAAAAAAGTGGCATCATTACAACTTTGTGTATTATGAAAACATCACAAAATCCTCATCACTGTCTTTATCAAGGTTTGCTCTGGCCACTGAACATTTAGATTTTATGTTAGAAAAAAACATTTAGAATATAATTTGAATGCATATCTTAGTTTTCCTGACCAGTATGTTGTAGGAAATGTCTTGTAATTTTTTTTTGGGCTTATGATACACTATCATAAATAACTTTAAGCCATGATGTTCTCCACAAAATACCTTGAAGCTCCTGCTTCTGCCTCTCCAGCTCAGTCTTCTGCCTCTCCACCTCAGTCTTCTGTAGCTCCAGTTCTTTCAGCTTAGCTGTTTGTGTTTTGATGAATGAGCAAATGCCTGTGTGTTAACTTGTAGTTTACTGCAACATTAATATCTGTGTAGTTGCTCCAATAGGAAATACTCTTTGATTCAACAAACAACAAAAAAGCTTCACTAAATCGCTGAGTTACTTTTTTCTTGGGATGGAAATGCCTGTTTTTCAGTCTCTACACACATATGTGGTCCCCAGGGGATACATCTTTATGACTCCACTGCCACCAACAGGACATATTTAGTTATTTTAATTTACAGCTATTGGATAGATTACCATTAAAGACATCCAAGTTCCTCACAAAATGAATTGTAGTAACTTTGCTACTTAACTGATGTTTCATCTACTGCCATCAATAAGCCAACATTTCTACTGAAAAAGTATTTCACTGCTGGAAAGATGGTTTTTCATAAAACCCAGCTGTCCACACAGTAAAAAATAAAAGATGCAAATACTTTTGAAACTGGTGCTATATGACCAGAGAAAACAGATATAAAGGGCTGTGGCATTCGCTTTCACTCAAGAGGTTGAGAACCTACAACTATGAGAATACATTGTGCCATACCAGACTAATAATCTGAATTACAATGTTTGTTTACTGGAACTTCTGGGTGGAAAAAACCCTGCGTCATGTACATAAAATGAAGAGGCACCTGTTTGACTGAGAGAGAGAGATACTCATTTTAACGTGGCTGATGTGATGGTTAATAATGAGCTTTTTTTTCTTAATTAAGTATTGCTATCAATTAAAAACACATCATTATTCTCTGTATTACTGTGCTATTCACCGTTCTAGATAGGATTTTAAATGATGTAGGTACCATCAGAACAAAACTGTTCAAATACTTAATTGCTAGTTTAGTTCTGAGTCTGACCTTCTCCATCTCTCTTGAGAGCCTCCACCTGCCCTTCTGTGGCATTTGACCTGGTGTTCACAGTTATCAGCTCTGCTGCTTGTGCTGCAATTATTGAAAAAGTAGTAATGTGAAATAAATCATTGTCTCCAATGAAAACAATCCATGGCAGACAAAAGTATTCCATCATCATGGTTTCATTAGGTTGTGCGTTAGCCACTGAAATTTGTTCAAATAAATTACTTCATACTGTCCAGAAAAAACTGAGTGATATGCATCATTAAAAGGACTTATGACTATTTGTTACTGCTCAATATAAACATATACCTTGGAGCTGTTGCTTCAGCTTGTCCACCTCAGTCTTTTGCATCTCCAGCTCTCTCAGCTTAGCTGCCTGTGCTAAAAATAAAAAGAGGATTCATCAATGATATGTTCGTTACAAACATTTCTGCCTTTTGAGTATGAATGGCTATGACGTGCTATTATAGAAAGCTCCAGACCAGAGGTTCCTATTGCTCTTACTTCCCTCACTACCTGACATACTACTGTACCTTCATTCTCTCTCTGTAAGTGCCTCATCTCCACCCTCTGTTCAGCCAACAAGGCGCTCATCTCTCTCAGCACAGCATGGATGTCTTGAGTGCCGGTTTGTTGGCGGTCAGAGACATTTGTTGGTCCTCTTCCCTGGGATTCAGCTTGCTTTCCATGTGGAATAATTTCATTGTCAGACTCTGTCTGATGCTGAGCCGTGGAGAGAGAGCAGATCAGCAGCAACAGTGGAAAACACAGTGTCATCTCCATTCTCAAAGTGGCAGTCTGTACAGTTCTACTCTGTAGTTTCTGTGTTCATCCCAGCCTTAAATAGTGTCTTATGCTGATCAATTATTACCAGAAATATCTGTCAGAAACACGTGCAGGAGATCAGTTTGATAACAATTATTACTTGGAGAACATCATGTGGAAAAACAACACTGAAAACACAGCACATGAACATAAATGATCTGCTAGTATGTTGGAACGTAGCTTCCAGTCCTTGAATAATCAGTTTACCAAAACTCAAAAAGTGTATTGTAATATTCTCAAAAGTGTGTGTGTGTGTGTGTGTGTGTCTTGGAAGTCTCACTGTGTCATTTAAGGAGTTGCAGTTACATATAAACGACTACAATGTGGATGATCAAAAG